GTTGTGAAGAACTACGTCTGAGCGGTTAAAGAATTTCCGTTTTGCTTTTGGCAGTTTCCAGCAAGAGGATTTGGCATTTTCGTCGCATTGTCAATTTTGATTTCTTTTTGAATTTCGCCAAGCTAATGAAACATATTAGCCGGGTCTGACTAGCTAGTTGATGGATGGATTTTACGAAACCAAAATAGCTGCTCTGAGCAATGTTAATGAATAATGCATTGTGTTCTCTTTGCGGCAAAGCAAACAAAACGTACGACACGTTACGTCGAATACGTCCCTACGTTGGAAGCATTTTGATTGATCGAGTCTCAACGAATGGAATTCGATTTAAAACTCTGTACGGTCTCATTCTTGGCGTCACAGATATTTGCTAAATTGCGGTCATTACTGAAGAGGAAAATGAACGCTTCACCTATCATCACGTTTAGTTCAGGAAGCGGAGTAACTACTGAACTCAGCTTGAGGCTACTTGACCACAGTACCGTCGAGTTACTTTAGCGAGTCTGACTTTAGAAACTGTCGTCAGAGTGCATTCAACACCTTTTAAATGCTGTTGCGAATGGATAAATGTTTAAGGGAATTGGAAAATTAGGTTTGTTTAGTTCTGTTGAATGGCGCTCAACGAGAGTCACGGTGTGAACGACGCCTAACTGTTTGTCATTCTTGAAAGTACGATTCGGTAAAACTTTTTGTTTTGTAAGTATATCTATAAAATGCAAAGTCATGTCAAAATGTAGTCAGTTGATGTATTGACAATACATTCATAAACGTTTAAGCGCAAATACAGTTTGTAAAGAATGAAGCAACGATTGCAGGCATGAAACAGTCTTATACTTCGGGTTTATATTGAAGAAACTGAGCCACAATGGCACGCACAATCCGCAAAGTAGCTTACCTTCGTTTTGAAGGGAACTCAGCTCGTTTTGGAGTGGATGAGCGGACTAAAATAGATGAATATTAATATTAGACTGAAGCATTCATACGGATGCAGCATAAAGCAAATTAAAGAAACAGAGTCCCTATGAATTATGGCCCACATGTTGGAGATAATTTTGTTTGTTCTCCGGAGGTATATTGCATCAGCATTATCTGTCTTTTGCATTCGACTTAGTAGACGGCGGAAGGGATAAAGCTTCGCTGTGCGCGTTAGGGGCGCCGGACTCAATCCCTGTTTTCAATTGCTTTTTTATGTTTTTCCCTTTAACAGGAGTAAGCTGTTCAAGTCAACTGCTTACGCATATTTCTGGTCCCTGGTAAAGTTTTTGCTCTCAGTATTCGCTCCGCAAGGTGGCCACAGTTGACATGCTCCCTGATCTTAAATGCTTTGTTTATAGCCAGTCGGTCTCCTTACTTGAATACTGTAGTTAGAATGCAAGGCTTGCACAGACGCCATTTTGGCCTTTTCGATCGTAGCTGTTCTTACAGAGCTTTTGTAACTTGTTGTTAACGAACAACGTCGTTCTGCTTCATTTATCGATCGCTCGTCTGCTGTCAATGGAATCCCATCATAAAGACATTCTCCTACCATTGCCATAACGCCGTTATCAAGAACCAGACAGTCTTTTGTCGGGGTTCAGCCAATTTGCATCTATTTCGTCTTCCTTACGTTCATCGAGAGACCTCTGTTTCAGAG